TATGTATTCACTAACTGTAAGTCGCTCTGGATAAGAGCGTCTGCTAAAATGACTAAAATGTAAATGTAAATAAGTCATGAAATAGAAAGATGAGTTGTATCAATTTTTTTGGTGAAAGACTCAGAGCAGATGCAATGTAACATATGGAATCATAGCACAAATTACAACATAGGAAAAGGAAATGTTCATATAAAATGGGGATTTTATTTAAGTATTTAATTACTAATATTGAATGAACTAATAGCAGTAATGAATGGCCAGCTTAGTATCTGGAAAAACAGTCACCATTAAGAGTAAAGCAGAGCGTCATTTACCTCGAAGAGAGAGACAGGAAATGATGAAATTATTACAGATGGCGCGAAAATATATAATTGACAATATCGTCGTAAGCAACATGAAATGGGATTTACATTATATGAAAGAGGCGTATATAAAGCATGCAATTTAATGAGCGCATGATGGCAAGGAAATATAAGTAATATGGAGAAAAAGTTAGCTAACGAAGTTAAGTAATTGAATGGGACAACATGGGCTATCTTATGAACAAAGAGAAGAAAGTAATTTGAATCCGAAGGGTGCATAATAAGTTATAGAAATGTATATGATAATTTGATATAAGTTTGGATAAGAAGTTACGATATATAACAGAATTAAGTCATAGAATATCAAGGAGTGGTATGGAGATTGTGAGGTTCTTTTAGAGAGTAGTGGACAAGTCTGTATTTTCTGGGACAGACAGGGCAGTGTCCTGGAAATTACAGTGTGTTTTTTTGGTTCCGCTGGGAGTATGTTTGATGACGTGGATTGAGAATTGGTTAAAAAAACACAAAGGGATTATTGGATGTGAGCACTTAGAAGTTTCTAACGTTATATATGTATTAGCTTGCTCACCCAAACGTAGACGTACGTCATGGGTGGGGAAGTAATTAATATGGGTTTTCTAAGTTGTACCGTTGTTAGATCATGTGATTGAGATAAGGTTTAAGGAATAAACTGCCCATAAGTAATGTGGTTATAGACGTAATTTATAATATTGTACAAAGCCAATTTAGGGTTTCCATTAAACTAATTATCATTGCGGAGCTAAGGTGGTGAAGTGAAGGAACTTCATTTTGTATCAGATGGTAACACGACAAACCATTGTAACTGCGCTATTTTGTGGGATTTATTTGTCATTGCTATGGCATAGAGTAAACAAATCTGGGTTCCTGAGTGTAATTCAACTGTTGGTATGTGTTGCTTAGACAGATAATACAAAGTATTTGGTTTGGTGATGAAGAATGGAAGGTTTGTAGCGTGCTTGGGTTAAATGGAAGGACTCACTTATTTAACAGGAATAGTGAGACGATTTCATGGTAGTCATTATTTTTGTGTTGCCTAAGGGTTTGCTAAATTAAATGATTGAGAATGGTGGCATAATGTCAATCCATAAATTGGATATTGATACTATGGATATAAAGTAAATATATGCTGATCAACTACAGCAAGTGTTTGGTATTACTTGTAGCCTACTTAGAAAGGACAGTTACCTAGATCTGCTGCATTCTAATAATGGCGGATTGGTGGTTTCAGAAGAGCTGTGGCTATGATATTAGAAACAAACACTAGGGATAATGAAGCAGTGTTGGAAGGAAGCAGAGTATGAAAGACAACATTGACTGAGGAATATAGCACATTTTGGGTTGAGGTAACTACAGAAGTATTACTGACACAATATCGTAAAAGATCAACTGAACCAAACATGAAGCTACTACAGCAATTGATTGTTAATGTTGTTAAGTTCGTTTTTAAACCCTACGATAGAGGTAAATGCAGAACTCTGTTTGTGAATGTGTTTTCTTTGGTCTACTAGTAAAAATTGATGAGTTTCAAAGTTTTTGTCTGCGGGTGTTAGCCACTTGGGCTCGCTGAAACATGAGAGAGCTGTAAGGGACATTATGGGTTACGTTTGGTGTACAAGGATCAATGGTTGCTGAGGAGAAGGAAGTCAAAGGGGGTTGAATGTTACTGGTGTGAAAGGGCTAGCTGGTTAGTGGTGCGAACTAGTGGCGTTTAGAGTGGTGACGTAACTTACTCTGCGACGTGGAAGTAGTTGTTTGCCTTGCTTTGCAAGGACCGCAGATTTTGTGGAGCAACGGGTAATGGTGTTTCGAGGATGAATGTTGTCGATGTGTGCAGAGGGTTCCTGGTTCAAGCCCAGGTAGGGACGAAAGCTAAACTTTTACATTGATGCTATTGACCTAGATCACTAGGTGAAGTGATACAATTATATGAAAGAGATTGTCTTACCAACCCATAGTGGATAGTATAACATAGTAATTAAAGTTGCCTCTCTGTGAATAGATGTTTTGTTAGTTTTGACTATAACTAAAAAATAATTTGTCATCGGTTGAAGTACCGTTAGATGGAAAGTCAGCGGTAGAGAATGATAGATATTGTAGAGGGTTTTCTGTGTTACAAAGTAAGTAAGTTAAGTGGGTGATGAGAAATGTTGAATTGGATTGTTTAATAGACTGGTATTAAAATAATTATTTCAAGTAAGGTCAATGAAATTATGTTATTAGGTAGTAGTGGTTTATACAATTTACTAATGACATGATTTAGTAAGAGGGTGAAAAATTGTAGTGATTGTTGTGCTATGTTGGGATATAAAGGACACAGAGGGTGATGTGAAGCACATATCTAGATAGTTGAATATGGAACGTTCTTTGACAATTTTTTATTATTATTCTTAAATTATGTCGTTTGTTTAGACACCAATGAGTTACGCAGAAAGTTCATTAATTCTAAAAATGATAATCTGTTTCTGGTACGTTGAACAATGGGAGGTTGTTTTTACTATTAGGCTGATGAAGAAGTAAAACATTTTTTGTAGGTTCTGGATTTATTAAACAATAGGTTTATATTTTAAAACATCAATACAACAAGTGGAGATGATTACATTACCAACCAGGGGTTATAGGTTTATATTAGAAGGTGTAGTGAACTTAATGAAACGTGGTGTAATCTGATGTGTTTTGGGTGGGAGTTTTTTTTCCAGGATGTGGATCACTAAA